GGATGGGGTTCTAAACTCTTGTTCCAGCAAAAGACTTGGGTATGACTCTTTTCTGAACCCAGGTCCTACTGTAAAGTCCCAAAGGGCTAGTTTTCAAATCAGCAACTGCTAGGCTCTGAGGCTTCTCTGGCGTGATGGAGTTGCAATCTTCTATCGACAGGATACATACTCATTGAGCACCCCAAGGCACCCTAAGGATAGAGTGCCCCTGGATGACACTGACGTTCCCGTGCCCAGAGACCCACAGCAAGGGACTGTAAGGGTTTAAATGCCTACTCAGGGTCTAGAGATCCCTGATGTTGAATGAGGCCCATCCCCTTGGTCTCCTGAGTTAGAAGGACATATTCATTGTTATTTTGCTTGCTTCTTTCCTCTCTTCATTCTTTTACCCCCAACCTGAGCCTAGGAGGCAAAGCCATTTTTGTAAATGAAGCTTAATGGAGTCTAGGCATGCCTGTGTGCTCACATATTCACCACGACTGCCTTCATGCTACAATGGCGGAATTAAATTGCAGTGCAAATGATATGGCCCAGAAAGCTGAGAGAATTTGCTGTCTGGCCCCTTGGAACAACACTTCCCAGATTTAGCTCTGGAAAGTCTATGGGGGCTGTTTATCCTTTTATAGGCATTCACCCAAAAGTTGACAAGGAGACAGGTTTTTTTTTGTTTTGTTTTTTTTTTTTTTTTAAAGTATTTGGAAGCTATGCCAGGCCGGAAGCCACAGAGCCATCCAGAGTCTTCAGTCCTGTCCCCAAAGGAAGAGCTTTCCAGGGGACCCTAGAACCCCAAGGATCTAGGTCCTGGATTACCTCTTCCATTCATCCCTTTACTGCCAGCCCGTACCTGGTACCATCACAGACTAACACTGCCCTCATTCCTATAGCTGGGAAACTCCGTTTCTGTTCAATGTGAACTCATTCACAGGGAACCATGGCTTTCCACCCCATCCCCTTACAGAACATTTGGGTGATTCTTGGGTCTGCTAACTAGAAGAATGCCAGGCTGACTTCTGGGACCACAAACTTCCAGCCTCACCTCCTCTCTCCTAGCCCAGAATCGCTTTCTGTTGAATAGCACGTTTGGAGTTGAGACAAGACCCATCTGCCAGATCTAATTGAAACTTTTGTGTGTCTCCAGGAGAGGCTCCTCTGGAGACAAAAGCCTTCTTTATCGGCTCCAGTCCCCTCTGGGGACAGGACATTGTTTTCCTTGCAGTTTGGAGCCAGCATGTTATCCAGATGGCTTTACCTCTGTCTGAAACAAGGTGTACATGCGTTTCAGAGGCAGTCATTACCTCCTGCCTTGTTTTTATTGCTGCCTTGTTTTGTCTAGACCAAGCCGTCGCTGCAAGGAATCTGGCTGGTGTCTACCAGGAAGCAAGTGTGTGTGAACTAGAAGGCCTGAGAAGGGCTGGGAGGTACCTCCTCATCCCTGAGGAACCTCAGTCTTCCAGTTGACCTTAGATTTTTTTGTTTCATTCCTCAAGTCTAAAACAGGTATCCTGTTGTTCTTTGAAATGAGTGTTATTTCTTAGATGCTTTCCTGAAAAGGCAGGTGACAGCTGCCCATGGAAGAGATGGTCACATTAGACCATGGCATGGGCTGCCTGCCCTCTATCTGCTTCTAACTGAGAACCTAACTTGGGGAGAGAACTGGAATGCAAAAGTTGGGTGATTCCCAGGAGTGAGAAACTGGTAATCCTCCCTAGAGCTGGCTGGCCTGCGCAGCATATAAAAACCCATGTAATGAGGATGATGTGGTGGTGGGGGGGGGGTGGCGGCAGTGGCAGTGATGGTGATGACTTGTAGTTCTGTCCATTTGTTTGGGGCAATGTTTTTCCACCCTAGTTGCATATTATGATAGGATCTCCTTGGGAGTTTGAAAATATACTTGTATTAGAACTCTACCGCCAGCCATTATTTTAGAACTTTAATGATGATGCTTCAATGTTGGTGTTTTTTTTTTACAGGCTCTTCAGAATTTTCTTATCCAGGGTTGAGAACCACTTGTGTGCACTGCAGCCTGTGATTACAAGTAGCTACTCCTTTAATCCCTGTGACAATGCAGGGAGTTCAGAATTAATATGTTCCCTTTTCGGCCCCAGAATTGAGTCCTCAGTGATTGGCTCAGGACAGAGCTTTTCAGGGCTGAGCCAGGCCTCAAACCCTGACTGACTCCAAGAGCAACATTCATTCCCTATCCCTCATGCAGTAGTAGCCCGAGAGAAAAACCACTGTCTGGCTTTGCATGCCTCTACACTCAGCCGGGCCTACATTTTCACATCTCTGTCTTCTCACAGCCCCGCCCCAGTAGTCCACTTACCCTGCTTCAGGGTCATTTCCTACTTGGTTCCCCTTCCACCCCCTCTACTGGGAACTGAACCTGGGGTTTTATGCATACTAGGTAAGCGCTGACCTACTCTTTTACTTCCCACCTTCCCCCAGATCCCACAGCCTTGTACTTGCTAGGCAGGTGTTCTTCCACTGAGCTAAATCCCCAACCCCTTTTTACTTTTTATTTTAAGAGAGGGTCTCGTTAGGTTGCCCAGGCTGGCTTGGACTTGTTTAGTAGCCCAGGAAGGACTTGAATTTTTTTATCCTTTTCCTTTTCAGCCTCTTGAGTAGCTAAGATTTATAGTCTTGAGCCTTCAAGTCTGACAAATCTTTTCAGCCAACTCTTTGTTAAAAAGCAAAACCAACCTCCCCAAAAGCCCCAAACAAACAAAAAACAAAAACAAAACCTATTTATCTTTTCTTCAGAGGTATAACTCTGACACTGGCCAAACTGGCTAGAATCCATTGGCACTGGGTAATCTCCCTCATAGAATCCCATAATCCACTGAGCCACCGCCCTCATAAACTCCCAGAATCCATTGCACTAGATAGTTCTCTTTACTGAGGCCCTTGAGGCACTGGAGCAGTTTAGGAGGTGAGACTGGCCTCAGGTGGGTGGCAGGATGGTAAGTGAGGAAGGGCCTGTCAGCTCTGTCAGCTACAGTGGGTTCTGTAGGCTTCACTTTATTTTTGCAGCAGAGCCCTGATATCACCAGGGGAAAGACAGCAGAAGTGGCTGCTACTAATGCTTCTGTCTAGTCAGTTTTGATTGGACGTGTCAGGAGATACTGTAACATCTGGGCTAGTGATGGCAGGATTTCCTTTTGGGCCAGACAGATCTGAGGGAACTTCCTGATGAGATGGAAGACCAGTAGGGACCCTTAGTGGGGAAAAGCTGAACTGGGTTTGAATTCTGACTTCTACTGCTTGTTAGCAGTGTGGTCTTGGATAAGTGGCTTAATCTCTTTCAGACTAAATTTCTGCCTCTAAGATGGAGATAATGGTGGTACTTACCTCAGAGGGAGAATTAATCAGATAATCTAGGCGAGACATTAACATAGTGTGGTCGTTTAGTAAGTGCTAGCTATTATCACTGACATCATTACACCCATGAGATTGGGGGCACAACTGAAAAACCTTCTTAATGACACAGAAATCACCTGAGGATGAGGTTTTGCCTGGGCCCATTGAGGGTTTTCTCCTGAAATGCTGGACACTGGGGGATGGAGGGTGTTTGCCGTCCCCCTCTCCGCCCCCACCTTTCCAATAGCTGTCCTGGAGAAGGATGAAGCCTTCCTGGCAGGAGGGAAGATACTTTAAGGAGAGACACTTGTGCCCCTCTCTTTGGCTATCAAACTATTGAAACAATGTTCCCAAGCAACTGAAATTTCCCAAGGAATCTCATGCTGAGAGAAGGAAAAGGCTGAAGCCTGGTGCCAGTCAGAGGGAGGACTTGTCCCCAGAGAGATCTTTCACAGTTATGATTTGTCAGACCACTGTGCAGGGCGAACTGGAGACAGTGATGTTGGTCAGGTCTGCATCTTGATTGGGACTGCTTAGCTATGCTTACCTCTTGCCCACTATTTAAAATTAAACCTCATGTCAGGACCCTAAAGATGGACTTGGGAAGTCACTGGACCTCTATTCTTCTTCCAAATGTGATCATATTGAATAAATCTCCTTTTTCTACTTTTCACTACTAGGGACAGGTGCAGAGCCTAGCTAATGAGGGCTACCACGGCCTAAGCAAGCTGTGACCTAACAGCGCCATTACACAATAGCCGAGGGGCCTGGCCTGACTTTGCTTTGGTAGTCTGTCCATCATATTTTAAAGAGAATGCTTCCTATAGCATGCTCAGAGAGCTCTGCAACACTATCTGGCCATAAATTAAGAGACAAGAAACCTCTGTGCTGGCAGAACCAAAGTTTTCCACAGACACATTTGTGAACCCAAGTAGGTAAATGTGTAGGTGGTAGAGACACAATCTGTCTGCCCCATGCAAGATGCCAGCAAAGGGAAAGGAGGGGCCAGGGAGCAAGAGGATACCTGGTTGCAAAGCCAGACTTGTAGACTTCAATCCCATATGTTGATAGTAGAGATGTTAATAAACAGGGAGATTAGGAGTCAACCTTCTGCCATCTACTTGGCCTTGCCCTGATGCCCATCATGAACCTCCTTGGAAAGTGACAAAGGCAGAACAGTATGCTTTGTGGTAATCTTTCTTGATCTGCTGTGTGTAAATCTCCAAGAAACTTGTCTTGAGCTCGTACCCTGGGGAATAATTGGTAGGTGACTCAGAGGCTCAGGAGGCTCAGATGAAGCATCCTGCAGATGTATACCCTGGAGGGCAACAGGGTGAATGTGATCAGCTAGGCATCACATGGGTCCTGGAGGTCATTTGGGATAAGGCAGCATCCTCCCAAAATCCCCTGAGGAGGGAGTCTTCAGGACCCCAGGCAAGGAACAGATCTGACACGTGGCCCAGGAATAGTTAAGCTTCTCTTGATCTTCTTGGTTGTGTGGGACTTGTCCCGGGGAACCATGCAGAGTCCTGGTCTTGCCTTCAAGCCCTGACCCTGCAGTTGTAGGTTTGGGCCTCAGCTCTGGCTCTGTTTGTCCTGTTCTGCTGTTTCTTGGCTCAAGCATGTCTTTCTCCTTGTTTCAGAAGTTCCGGGTAGATATGCCTGGCTCGGGCAGTGCCTTCATCCCTACCATCAACGCCATCACCACCAGCCAGGACCTGCAGTGGATGGTGCAGCCCACAGTGATCACCTCCATGTCCAACCCCTACCCTCGCTCGCACCCTTACAGCCCCTTGCCAGGCCTGGCCTCAGTCCCTGGGCACATGGCCCTACCAAGACCTGGCGTGATCAAGACCATTGGTACCACCGTGGGCCGCAGGAGGAGAGACGAGCAGGTATGGCTCAAGCCAGTGGAAAAGAGCCACATCAGTGGTTTGATGGGAGAGGGGGCTCATAAGCACAGAATGTTCTTTAGGTTGGTGGGGATGAGGGTTAATGTTCTAGAAACATCGGGGAAACAAAGGGTGACAAAGCCCAGATCCTCATTGTTGGAGGCAGAGCTGGAAACTGTAGTCAGACCTGTCATCTCATTGTGTCTCTCAGAATCTGTGAGTCGCAGTTGCAAAATGGGGATGCTGTTGCCTGTCAGTCAGGACCTGTTAGTGTTCCAGGGAGATCTCATGTGGGGATGCACGTTGTAGGTGTAAAACATGTGAATGGGGGTGCATGATCTGCTAAAGCAGTACTGTGCTGAGTTTTAGTAGGGGTCATGGAATGAGTGCCATGGGACTGGGGCTGCGAGCACCCATGTGATTTTCCATCCTCTTCAGTGTCTCAGGTCTTTAGATCAAAGCTGTAGTCCATTTCCAGGGCCTGGAATGTATGTTCTACAAGAGCAGTGACCCTGGGACCTGAGGGATCTGTGGAATTGCTTCAGCAGTAGGGGGAAGTGGAGGTCAAATATCAAGTTTTATTTATTTACTTATTTTCCTCAAGAGGCTCAGCTTTGAGAGGGAACTGACATGACTGAGAGGGAAGTCGGAAAATGATGAATCTTCTGCTTTTTAGGAAGCAGTATTCACATAGCCCATCACCTGCACTTAACAGAGAGCAAGGGCAGCACTGAGCACCCTGCTTCCAGAAAGAGAAATCAGGGTTGAGTAATTTCTGGAAGGACAGACAGAGGCCTCCAAAGAGCCTTCTCTGTCTCCCTTCACAGATGATGCAGCTGAGGATTAGACCCACCTGCCTGGACTCCATGTCTTCCTGCAAGGCCAGGCCACTGTGAGCCCAGAGAAGGGAACCCATTAGGCAGGGATCTCTTGGGGTGAAATGAAAATCTGGTGAAGTGCTTCGGTTATGGTGCTGGAACCCTCACTATTCCAGCTCCTGTCTGTTTCTACCTGAGAATCTACCATATTCTACTACCAGGGCCTTTAAACATGGCTCCCTCTGGACAGTGATGGATCCAGGGCCAGTAGTCCCCAGGATGCTTATAATTACAAGGCTCTCACTCCATGGAACTGGAAGCTTCTTCAGGAACCGTGCTCTTTTGGGGACAGAGCTAGACCTCATATCTAAAACATGTTAATGGCGGGGACACAGTTTACATGTGTTAGGTGCTGTGATACAGTTACATGTGTATGGGGGTGGGGGGAGCTTCTAGGCCCTTCCAGTGGCTTCCCATAGTTACAGTTATAGATATTGTATCAGCAGTGACTGTGATGTCTTCATAATTAGGCTTCTCACACCAAACCCAAGGTGCAGAGCTTCATAACCACTGACAGGGTATATTCAAGGGTGTAGGTGGTGCCGAGTAACGGCTGGACCCCTGTGGACAGTGCAGCATGATGTGCCCAACGCTCATCATTCTCTGCTGGGTCTACTTCACACTGCATTTAGAAGTTTATATCTGACCAGGTGTGGTGGCACACACCTTTAATCCCAGCACTTGGGCGGCAGAGGCAGGCAGATCTCTGTGAGATCAAGGCTTGCCTGGTCTACATAGGGAGTTCCAGGCCAGCTAGTGCTACATAGTGAGACCCTGTCTCAAAAAAAAAAAAAAAAAAAAAAAAAAGCCAAACAAAAAAACAACAAAAAAGAAGTTTATATTTGGAAGGGACTTTGGAGACTCTCCTAATTTTCCCTTGTACCCATCTCTTAGATAAAGAAACTGAGACCTAGAAAGTCACACAGCAGAGCCAAGACTGGGATGTACCACTTTGACCTTCAGTTTCGTGTTTTTGATACCACAGTACACCTCCTAGGCATGCCCCAAGACAGTCTGTCTGGAGATTTTCCTTCCTTTTATGAGAGAAAGGGAGAGAGCCAGGAGCTTGTTATCCCAATCAATCATGAGTTCAGAGAATCACTAACCACATCACCATCCTTCATGACAGCCACGTTCTAGAACCTTCACTTGGGTTCCTGGCCTCAGGGTCTTCTCTGTGGCTTACTTCTGCCTTCTCCCCTTTCTACCCCAAGGCCTGTCCCAGGAGCCAGATTGGTGCCTCACCACCTCCTCTACAGCCTGCCCAGGAGGCTCTTCTACCCAGGGTGGAGGCTGAGGAGAAGGGAAGGGAGGGTGTGTGTGGCTTGTGGGTGGGTCCCTGGTGATGCTGACATACTCAAGCTGTAACCACGTTGATCTCACCACCCCAAAACACTTCCTATGTCGACAGTACCCACAGTTGCCCCATACCTCACCAGACAGGGAAAGATCTAAGGCCCAAGGTTACCAAGGGGAGAGGAAGGCTTGCTGGAGACCAAGCTGCTTTTTTCCCTTCCTCAGCAGTGAATGCTGTGTGTTGGGGATGGTGAATTTTGAGCCTTTAGAGGAGCCCAGAAACCCTTGAGGAGTCCTCAACACAGGACTTCCAAGAGGGCCATGGCTTTCTTGGTAACTAACTTTGGTTTTTTTGTTTGTTTGTTTGTTTGTCTTTTGGGGATAGGATCTCCCTGTAGTCCCAGCTGACCTGAACTCACTATGTAGGCCAGGCTGGCCTTGAACTCACAAAGATCCGCCTGCCTCTGCCTCCCAAGTGCTGGGACTGAAGGTGTATGCTACCACACTAACTTTGAGGCCTTAAACCAAGACAGATTTGTGGACAGCAAGTGTTCAGCTCTTGGCCAGGTGGCCTTATGACCTTAGCTGGACTGTGGGGTTACCTCTGTAGTCAGCATGGGCTCATCTTCTTTGAAGCTCTTCCTGCTTTGCCAGGAAAGCAGAGAGCAAATCTGCTCTGGTCCAACCAGCAGTGTCTCTCTCCCTATTGAGGTGGCCAGCAGTTAGGTAGCATATCTCTATGGAATCTTCTAAGCCCCCAGGAGAGCACTAGGCATGTAGTGGGTGTGTATCATTGTCTGATAGCTAAATGGGGAAGTTTTCCCTTTTGTTTTGCTTTGTGCTTTTGCCCACAGCTCTTTCCTTGGATTACCTGTGCCTGAGGAGAGACATTAGGGCCTTAAGTCTGGAAGGGCTCTGTGTGAACAGAGCACACAAGTGCTTAGCAGAGCAGAGTTTTGAGTCTCTGACCAACTCATTGGAAGGAGCTAGGTAGGTCCTGAGCTCTTTGCAAGGAGTCCTCTTTTGGCTCACAGATCAGCCCAAACACATGACATTATGTCTAGCATATAGAAAGTACTGTGAAATAAATGGAAAAGGCGGGCAGTGGGGCTTCCATGTCTGGCCTCCTCCCAGCCTAACACTTTTCCAGGCTCCCTAGGAGTCCCTCAGGAACATGGGTGAGCAGCTGGCCTCTGAGGCTGGCAGAGGGAGTTGAAAGTAGAGTGGTACCTGTGTCCTTCCCACTGGCAACAGAACATCCCTCATGGGTGGATCTTGCCTGTGTGAAGACTCTACATATCCAGTGTGAATAGAGAGGCTTGTGGAGCAGGCAGAGTGATGGGGAGAGGTAATTAGCTAGGCTTTGGAGGAAGCTGCTAGGAGAGGACTTCTGTCTAGCCTGGGCTTTGAACCAGAGTTGACAAATACTGCCCTTGTGCAGGGGGAGCTGAGTCTTTCATCTACTGATGTTTTGCTCTTTCTTTAAACCTGCAACATCACCTTCCAATGAAGATTCAGTAGCAGGCTCCCTCCAGGTAGCAACATAGCAGTGATGTCGTGTTCTGGGACCTCTCAGTCTGGCCGCACGCATCTGCCCTTCTTCCTTCCCTCCCTAGTTTTAGAAGGGCCAGTTCCCTTCCTAAAAACACAGAAAAATATCATGAACCATTTCGCTTCATTCTAATCATAATTCTTCGCGTTGGCTTCTAGCTGTCTCCTGAAGAGGAGGAGAAGCGTCGAATCCGAAGGGAGAGGAACAAGCTGGCTGCAGCCAAGTGCCGGAACCGCCGCCGGGAGCTGACAGAGAAGCTGCAGGCGGTGAGGAGCTCTGTGTAGGGTGGGAGCACTCTGGGTGTGCTGAGGGCTGGAGGTTCCACCATCCCAGCCTTGTCCTTAACTCACAAGTGTCCTCCTGATGATGAGTCAGTGGAGATAGGACATTCCTTCTTTTGAGCACATGGGTCAACATTGTGCTGAAGGAGAGAGAGAGAGAGAGAGAGAGAGAGAGAGAGAGAGAGAGAGAGAATGAGAATGAATGAGACTAGGCCTTCGCCACTATCCTGGACCTGGAGAGAAGCAGACCACTCTCCTGGGCCAGTACCTTTTCTCACTCAGTGCCTGAGTGCTCTCTGTCCTCAGACCCAGTGGAGCTTCTAGGTGAGGACTGACAGACGGTGTCATACTGCCAGTTCCTGTGAGCAAGGGTGGGACATCAAGACCTCCTTCTCCAGAGCTCCTTCCCAAGGTTCCAGCTGTCCCTGTGTCTGATGCCAGCAAGGATGGCCCAGCCTCACTGAAGTGCCCCTGTTTGAGTGGGATGGGGTGAAGGTCCTGATGAAGACAGGTCACATGTCAGCTGAATTTTTTTTTTCCCTTGGGCTTTTGCATATCCTTTATTGGCAGGAGGGTTTTCCACCTCTGCAGTGAGCCAGGAACTTCATTCTGCCCTTGTGAGTCACTCTTTCATGCTCCCTAATTGCCCAGACCTGGGGGCCCATGGTCCTGCCCCTCCCTCTTCTTAGCTTGATCTGACCAATGTCACGTAACTCCCTTCTGTGTCTGGCCTTAAAGGAAGGCTGTGTGTGCTGTGGAGGAGGACCAGAGCCAGGCATGACTCCCTTAGAGAATGCTCCCAAAGATGAGAGACTGTCGGTGGTCCTCATAGTGACCATCTAGTAGACATTTTTAAAAAATGTCCATATTTAATCCTCTCAGATACAGACTACCTGTTTAAGTTCTATATCTTTCATCTTTCAGGCCTCACTCTTGGGCACTGAATGTATACCTGGTGAATCCCATGATATCTGTAGTTATAGCCCATGGAGGTGTCAGAGTCAGGGAAGATGGGTAGAAGCTCTCCCTCCCCAGATGAGGTGGAGGTACTGATCAGCCCCCATCATGGGAGATTCCCTTAGCAGAGCTCACTGCTAATTGTTCTCTAGGACTTCAAAGAGCCATGCCCTCATATTATCTCCTGAGGGCATCTGTCACCACCAGCCCTAGAATAGCGACCCCTCTGAATCCTCCATTTTTCTCTCCTCCTCCCAGAAACCTCACACCCTACTCCTCTGCCTCCCCCACACCCTGACCCAACCACCCAGGCCCCTGAGCCACATCCTCCACAGGAAGCCTCTTACAAGCTCGTGACGTTCATCAGACCCTTGAGACAGATGGAAACTTTTTTTTTTTTTCACTCCGGAATATGCCATACTCTGCTTAATGAAACTCTTTCCTGTATATCTCTTCATTTGTGAAGAGGAATCTGTGTTAGGGGAAAAGCAGGGAGGAGGCTGGTGACATACACCTTTCCCCTCCCCGAGCCATCCCAACCACTGCATTGATGGCTCCTCTGGCTTTGTGTAAAGGAAAGGGTTTGCAGTCCCTAAGGGAGTGACCTTGACATTCTAACAGGCTCTCATAGGCTGTCAGGTTCTCATAGACTGTTGGACACATGGTGGAAATGAACATTTTCATCCCCAGGATCTGTGAGTCCTGGGAATACAGGCTTCAGAAACTGGAGTAAGAGAGAGGATCTGACTGGGCATGATGGCACAAGCAGAGGCAGGCAGATCTCTGTGAGATTGAGGCCAGCCTGGGCTACATAGCAAGTTACAGGCCAACTGGAGCTACATGGAGACCCTGTTTCAAAAGAGAGGGGCCTGGTCCAACAAACATTGGTTGAGCGCTTGCTACAATCCAGGCACCATCTGTTCCAGTGCTGGGGGTGGAGGACTGACTGTTACTGAGAGTCTGCTCTAACACAGCTCTGGCTTTGGGGTCTCTATATCCACAGGTAGGCTAGCAGAGGGACTGAGATAGTGAAAGAGGATGAAGAGGAGTGTCCCCTTCTCTTCAGTATCTTACTCTAACCCTTACCTGCTGAGGGACCCAAAGGCAGTCCTGGCACCAAGAGGGTAGATGCAGTAGCATGTGGACTCTGGAATCAGGTGCACTGGGATTTGACTCTGGGCAACTCTCTCTACTAGTGCTATAACTTTCAGCAAATGACTAAACCTCTCTGAATCTTGGTTTTCTCATCTGCAAAATGGGTTGATAATAACATCTGCTTTCAGAACCTTCTGGAGGATTGAATGAGATAATCTGTGAAAAGTATAATAGAGTGTCTGGCATGTAGTAAGTACCAATTATGGAAGCTCCAGTTGTTAATTTGCCTGTCCTATAAGCCAACTTTCCTCCTTTGGAAATAAAAAGAGCCACCATGTGACTCACACCCAGGAAGATCTGTGGTCAGGTGTGTGAGCTTCTGCTTACAGTAGGTCACCCCAGGACACTATTGGTTTTCCCTTTCTTGCCTAGATGGTGACTGTCCCTCAGGACATCCTGTAGACTACTATTGCTCATTCCCTTCTTCCCCTCATAGGAGACGGAGGAGCTGGAGGAAGAGAAGTCTGGTCTGCAGAAAGAGATTGCTGAGTTACAAAAGGAGAAGGAAAAGCTGGAGTTCATGCTGGTGGCCCATGGCCCTGTGTGCAAGATCAGCCCCGAGGAGCGCCGATCACCCCCCACCTCTGGGCTGCAGCCCATACGTGGCACAGGCAGTGCAGTTGGGGCTGTGGTGGTAAAGCAGGAGCCACTTGAAGAGGACAGTCCCTCTTCCTCAGTGGCAGGGCTGGACAAGGCCCAGCGCTCTGTTATCAAGCCCATCAGCATCGCTGGGGGCTTCTACGGGGAAGAGCCCCTACATACCCCCATTGTGGTGACCTCCACGCCTGCCATCACTCCAGGCACCTCAAACCTCGTCTTCACTTACCCCAACGTCCTGGAACAGGAGTCGCCTGCGTCGCCCTCAGAGTCCTGCTCCAAGGCTCACCGCAGAAGCAGTAGCAGTGGGGACCAGTCGTCAGACTCCTTGAACTCCCCCACACTGCTGGCCCTGTAACCCTGTGCTCCCCTGGCCAACTCCAGCAAAGTCATCGCCATTGCCTCTTTCCCAGGGACCAGTACCTTCCAGCACGCCAGGGTCATGAGGGCAAAATGAGCACTTGGCTCTGGGAGACCAATAGGACTTGGTGAGGCACTGGAGGACTTGAGTTGATCTCTTGGAAGCTGAGGACCTCCTCTTTTGTTCATCTTGCAAGTAAACCCTCCTTCTTGAGAAGCCGTGGAGAACTTGGTTTGGTAAACTCAGACACGTGTCTAGCTTTTGAAGAGCCTGGAGCTGGCCCAGATGGTTCCTGTGCCCTGTCACCTGTTGTCTCTGGAGTGATGGCGTCCTTCCCTGCCCCACCAAGCATGCTCAGTGCCTTTTGGTTTCACCTTCCTTCAACTTACCCCTCCCTCCCCCAGTATCAGTTTCACTCCTTCTGGGTTTTTATCAAATTTGCCATGACATTTCATCTGGGTGGTCTGGATATTAAAGCTCTTGATTTCTGGAGCTGGGGCAGCATATGTACTCGTCCACTGGGGCCAGTTTGTCCAGAAGGGGCAGTCAAAGTGCAATATAGAATCTCCCCAACACTCCCCAGTGCACTGCCATCACCAGACCACCAGCAGACTCCCTGAGTTCTCCAGGGGATGCTGCCATCACTGGGAGGCACCAAGGACCCATCCTCCCCAGCCTCGGAGATGCTGAGTTCTTGGAGGATCAGCTTGGCCAGAAGACAGGGTGTGTGACAGCCTGGGCACAGGTTGGGTTTGCCAAACGCCTAATTACCAGGCCAGGATTAGTGCCAACAAAGCCACATGGGTGTCCTAGTGAGCTTCTCTTTACCTCGTGTCTTGAGCAGGGCGTCTCCTATAATTACTGCCTCACCATTCTGCCCCTGGACCCTTCTCTCTAAACCAGAGAGGCGTCCCTCCCTAGGAACCACACATCACTCCAAAGCCCTACTGGGCTCCGCCTTTCCCTGGCCCTCAGAGTGACGCCACCCACAGAGTTTTAATGAGCTTTAGCTTGGACCCTCCCCAGATCTTAGCCAATTGGCTCCTCCTCAAGCCTCAGGTGGAAGGCTGGGGAGGTGGGGGCTATGATGGAGGGTGATATTGGCTGCCACCTCTGCAGCAGCAGTTCTGGTGCCCCGCCCCCAGCTGCCTCTCAGGCAGCCACCCCCCCCCCCCAACCTGATGGGTTGCATGCTTTCCCTTTCACACACCCTCTGCCATACTCCAGAGTGTGCTTCTGGCCCAGCCAGCCAGCTGGGAGTAGTTGGCCTCAGCTCTTGCTGGGATTGGGGTGTCTTCACCATTTCTGTATGTTAGCTGACTCTTTCCAGCTGCTGAAATTGGAGATAGGGTGTGTTTCTTCCCACTGTGACGAGCTGCCCTTCTCATGGTCCCCTGGCCTCCAATAAGAGCACAGATTTGTGAGCCCTGCCTTGGAGCCCAGCCTATTCTCCTCACGGCATGCTGACACATATACAAGGAAGCAGACTCTGGTCAGAACCAGCCTCTGGGGTTAGTGCTCTGAGAGAGGCTTCCAGTTAGTGATTCAGCTCTAGAGATCATTGTCCACTTGTTTAAAACCATACTGATGTTATTTGAATCAAGCCCAATCGTGGTTAAATTTCAAAGTCTGACTTGAAATAAAAGGGACAGCTTCACAGACCTGTTCCTTTCACAGCCTAAGGTCACACATGCTGGTCATGATTTAATCCCATTACTCACATGCATGCAGTACACACAGAATGCAAGAGCCATATGCCAAACATGCTGGTCATGATTTAATCCCATTACTCACATGCATGCAGTACACACAGAATGCAAGAGCCATATGCCAAAAATACACAGCGCGATGGAACTGGAAGTGACAGGAGGAAGGCTTGGCGGGTAGAGAGGGGAGGCAAAAAGAGAAAGGATTTTTGTTCAGAATGTGTTTTCCCATACTCCTCGGTATATTACTGCCAAGTGGGTCTCCCAGGGCCTCTGGGAGAGGAGCTCCTGAGAAGAATGGGCAGGTGACTTGCTGGTCTCAGAGATGTCAAAGAAATAAAAGGCAGCCGGGAGTAGGAGGAGGCGGGCCAAGACCCTGGGTTGTGCTCAGCAGGGAAGTGTTCATCATCTCAAGTGATGTTTATAGACAAGTGGGAGCTCATTGTTTTGTTGCGGATATATGTACCTTAAATGAAGCTGTTTTCTGGTCTTTTATTTCCAAAAGCCCCTTCCTGCCCTCCTCTGTATAGCATGGATCCCAGCACAGGTCCTGATCTGTGACTTGGGCCCCCGGGTGGACACTCCTGATACTGAGTCTGGCTTCAGTTCAGATTTCAAGCTGTACTGGCCTTAGTGCCAGGAAAGGCCCAGCCATCTAATCCCCGGGACCTCAGCGGCCTCAGAGGTGCTTTTCCCTTCCAGTTCTCTTTTGTCCTACGAGGCTGTTTGGCTTCTCCAGAGCCAGAGATGACTGGGGGTAGGGCTGGGGGAGGCTGAATAGTCACACCTAAGTTGTGAGTGTATCCCCACTTTGCTTCCTTCTGGCTCGCTCCCCAAGCTATCATACATGTCAGTCACACATGCCCCTGCTCCAGCATCACAGGACCCAGCTTGCTGCTCCCTCCTCCTTGGCTCCAGTTCAGGGAGCAGCTCAGTGAGGACACCTTCGTGCTCAGGCAAGGAGTTGTGTGTCCTCAGCTGCTGTGGACTTGGGTTGGACTGCAGACAGCTCTGGACTGGCGTGGGGCAGGCACTCCTTGATCAGCTGGCATAAAGTAGTCTTCGTGGCAGCCTGGCTTTTGGGCACAGCCTTCCCTCCAGCAAACTCGATGGGAACACCTATTGCACAGGCAAGGGAGCAGATCCCAGGTGAGGCTTAGGGGGTTGCCGCAGCCAACTCCAAGCAGAGTCCTGGAGGGGAGCTTATGACCAGTCAAACTGCTGTTTGTATATGAGGCCAGGTGTATACATGATGGCCAGTCACAGGAGCACTTAAAAGCCAACAGCAAGCAGGGCCTGCTGCTTCCTCAGGCTCTGGGAAGAGAGACTCTCCCTCAAGTGGCGGGGGTCTAGGCTGTCTGGAGCACGGGACTTGTATTTCACTCTTCCCTGATGAACCGACAGTGTTCCTTGCAATGCTGCCATTTACCTTTCAGAGTGATTTCCTTCCCTGAGCAGGAATTCACATGGCCCCTTTTGGGGAGGAAAAGCAAAATCACCTACTATGTGCCAGGCACTGTAAGGCACTTTTATATTTATCTTCTTTTAAGATGAGACTAAGGATTCATCTTCCTATAAAAGACCCCAGAGTAAGAGCATACTTGGAGATAAGAAGGCTTTCTTCAAAGACCCCGGGTAGGATTGCCTTCCTTCTAATGGTTCTCAAAGACTCACCCCCTGCAGTATCTGCCCACCCCAGGTTCTCCCCACCTGCTCCCCACTCCACCTCAGACTTCTCTCAGCTGCCTGTGCTCACGTGGCTGAAGAGGCAATCTGAGTTCTCACAGAATTGTGGACCAATAGCTTATGTGGTGTGTATAACTTTCTTTTTAAAACTTAAGTCTTGCTGCATTCTACTTGTTGGGTCATCTTGGCATCCATTTAAAGCCAGCATCTCACTATTTATTGACATGTGTGTGCTTGTGTGTGTGTGTGTGTGTGTGTGTGTGTGTGTCCTCTGCAGTTTTTTTATCTGCCCACCCCAGGTTCTCCCCACCTGCTCCCCACTCCACCTCAGACTTCTCTCAGCTGCCTGTGCTCACGTGGCTGAAGAGGCAATCTGAGTTCTCACAGAATTGTGGACCAATAGCTTATGTGGTGTGTATAACTTTCTTTTTAAAACTTAAGTCTTGCTGCATTCTACTTGTTGGGTCATCTTGGCATCCATTTAAAGCCAGCATCTCACTATTTATTGACATGTGTGTGCTTGTGTGTGTGTGTGTGTGTGTGTGTGTGTGTGTCCTCTGCAGCTTTTTTAGAAGCATTCGTTCCACTACTAATTTGGCATTGTCTTGTGCTTCTTGTGTTTTGGCCATACATCACCAAACAGTTTTAATGTTCCAGTGCTGACAGCAAGTTCAGGAGGGGCTGGGTCAAATTTTGACGGGGGCATGGGAAGGGAAGGGGAGAAGAAATTGACATTTATTTTATTATTTATTTTAAATGTTTACGTCTTCTTTGTGTTGTACCAAGCCTGAATAGAAACAGCATTAAAGTACTCGGTTCCTCTCTTTCTTTCTCTCTCTTGCTCCTCCCCCTTTTTTTCCAACTTAGGATAATGAATGATGCTTTTGTTTGTTTGTTTGTTTCTAAAGTGATTTGTGACTTGTGCTGTATAAACTGTATAAGAAGAAGTTCTGTTTTTAAAGATGGATTTGACATTCCTCTGGGGACAGTGGCTGCCAAGAAATGTACATTGTAAAAGAACACAAGGAAAGACCCTGCCCTGTTCCTCACAACTTACTTTCTCTGTATGATTAAAAGATTATTCCATTTACTTTACTTTGTGGTTACTCGATTTTGAGGAAGAGAATATTCGACTTTGTATAAAGACTAGGTATCAGGGTGTCCTCTGCAGTGGGAGATGTATATATCGTATTTTGGCATATAGTGGAGACTAATGAGCTTTGTGCATCTGTATTTGAGATATGTCCATGATGTGGAGTGAAATCTGCTATTAGACCCTGGAGGCAAACAAGTTGTACAGGTTCTTATTGCTCTGTGGGGAATTTAATTACCTTTCTGGGCACCTTTTTTTTTTTTTTCCTCCCTGTTTTTGAAAGTGATGGTGAAATGGTCCTACCAGAGGATCTCTTAAATTGACCTCTCCAGGCAGGACTGTGAGCTCAAAATCTTTGTATAGTTTTGAAAATTGAGGAGTAGCTCTGCTCAGAAGCATCTCTGGTGGCGTCTGTTGTTGTTTTGTTCTGTTTTACTGTATGTAACACAAGCCTACAGTATTTGCACTAAAGAAAGCTTGTTAGAAGAAGCTTGCTGCTATGGAGGAAACAACATATTAAAACTTTTTTTCCCTTGCGGGTTTATTTTTGTTTTATGTTTATTTTTTGTTGTTGTTAGCTTTCCCACTTTCCGTTGAGTAGTGTTTTGTAGAATAAAATGAATTAGATGGAAGAGCCTGTGATGGTTGGTTTATTCCTCCTTCCCCACCTGTCCTGTTACGCCCCCTTCCTCCCCTCCCCCTCCTCCTCCTCTTTCTTTGCCTCCTCTATTCCTCTTTACCTTTGGTCTTCTTGGGTGAAGTCAGTCTCTCTACTGGGGAGGAAGGGCCTGCTTTGACCCCCCTTCCAAAGACCTGTGATGGCCTTTCTGATTTTCTCCCCACCCTTTCCACCCTGTGTCAGGGCCCAGTTCTCGGCTGCCAACAACGGCCAAGGTGTGCGCCAATAAAATTGTAAGGGTATTTTGTTGGAACAGGTTGACTCTCGAAACTCAGAAATCTTCAAAGGCCCAATTAAATGTACCCTTAAGGCTGTCCTGGTCAGACAGACCAAGTGCAGGAAGGGGCTCTGACAACACCCAAGGCATGAACATATATGGGGCAATGGCATCTTTAGATTTCCTTTTCAGAAAGCCACAGGTTGCCAAGTGTGGAACACTCATCAGTGCCAGCCCAGGCCTCTTGTCCTGTAGATTAGAAATCTAGGGTAACAGGAATATCTTCCAAAGCCCTCTTTCCTCTCTGTGTAAGTGGTAGAGGTAAACGCATCATTAGTTAGTGTTTATAGTGCATGACAACTAGTTGAGAATTAGGCCAAGAAATGCTACTACTTGCTTTGGTTTGCCTTAGTTCTCATTCTCTAGAGGCCGCATTCTCCAGAAGACCCAGGAGTGCTGGGCTGGGGGTGCCCTGAATCCTAGGCCTGCCCCTACTAGTTACTGATGTTTATGTTTGGAGAAAGCCATGGGATGTTTCAGAGCCTCCGTTTCCTCACCTGTGAAGGAGCAGGGATGGTGATAGCAGTGTACCTCCTTAGGTGGGCTCAGGCAAGATAATACTATCCCTTCTATTTCCTTTTCCGTGGGCCCATGATATAGGGGTATAAGGCTACTTAGAAATCTCACTATTGGGCCTCATTTTGACCAATTCTTCCTGGATAAACAAGGAAATAAATTCAGACACAGCCTGGGAATTTCAGAGATACCTGAACCTTCCTGAGCAACTGTTATTTCCTTGTGGAGTAAATATGCAGGAGATAGCTGCCCAGATGGGTCAGTTTGACTTCTCTAGGCTGTGAGGATGATGCTGTTTGGAGAGAGACACATGGACACGTTTCTGTGCTTGCATCTCATGCCTGGGTTCCTCCATACACTCTCCATCTTCCAATAACACTCCACAATTGACTATTTAAATCGCCACCTCTTTACCCATATGGCAATTAGAGAGGTTGATGATTGACAGGCAGTTATTAGATGGAGTCAAATGCCTCTTTGTGCAACTATAAATGCCTTAACATCCAGGCAGCTATTCAGGCTTTTATAGGAAAAAAGACAGCAACAATAAGGGGTGGCCCACACTGGGCTCTAGAATCTAAGAGGGTCTACTGGGAGACTTTTGTAGTCACCTGTATGTCTGGGATGAATTCCCCCAAACCAGTTCTGCAACTTGGCTTGGCCATAAACTCTCTTGATTTCATTTCCAACACAGACTTTCCAACATTAGACATAGGCAGCATTTAGACATATTAAGGGTTCCATAGAATTCCCTTCCTTAAGGAAAGACATCTTGATGAGGGAGTACAGGGACAGTCCCCTTATGCCAGAACTAGAGCTCTGTGAGTGAACCTGGCTTTGTTTCTTGGATCTCTTTGTTGCTTAGAACCCCCCATCCCCCGCACACACACACATATACACACTATTTATTGAGAAACTATCTCCTGGAGTATACAGCTTCCAACACTTTGAGCCATTAGCATATAGGAAGGCCTATGAAAAGGTAGGAAGTGCTAGAATCAGGAGAAACTTAAGTCATTAAATCCTGTAGACTTTGGTTATGAAGTTGACTGATGCAATCTGATTACAGTAGAGCCTTTGGGCCCTAGGCCCCACTGACATGTCTGAACTGAAGGGTGTGTTTTCCATGTGACTGTATGAGTTTAAAGGATGGATGAGATATTTCTCTATGGACAATTTAGCCCTCACTGGTCACAGGGCCCCACCAGACCCCAAATGGAAGACCCTAGCACAGAAGAGAGCTGATGGCCTTCTGGTCTGACCACTGGATCCAGGATGTGCCTCTTGTATCTAGCCTTACAGATAGATAACTCTGTCCTTTTCTGATGAGATGACAAAGAACCCACTTCCTGAGATGTGATGAACTGTTGGAACTAGTTGGCCAGCCTTCTTTAAGATCAGACCTGCCTGGAGTGTTGAGAAACTACATGGTGTGACTGCCCAGTGTGCTGGATCCTTTTCCTTTATCTGCAGAAAGTCCCCGGTGCACAGAGGCTACAGTGAAGCCTATTATGATCTGTGAGTTGTCTCTGGAAAGTTCCACTCATTTAAAGGAAAACAAAAACTGTTTTAACCTCTACCTCCAGAACTAGAAGATCTTCAATAAGCTAAACATCTTAACAAGTCCTTACAGAAACAAAGGGAAAGACAACCCATAATACAGATACAAAGCCATGCCAGTTTGTAACGTTCAGCTGAGTGTCTCCAAGGGCATCATGTGGACATGGCCCTGCACACACACGGACTCCATTCCCTCTCCAAGGGCAAAGTGCACGGCCCAGTGGGAACTGCAGCTGGTTCTATTCTGGAGTATAACCCAGCCTTGTCCATTTGGAATGTATTATTAAGTGATAAGTACTTTTTACTGAGCTTCAATTCATTTAACATAAAATGAACCATTTAAAAGCGAATGGTTCCATGGCATTTGGGCCTCTACAGTATGGGGCAACCACCACTCTTGTTCTGGAACATTCTCATCACCATGAAAGAAACCTCATACATTAGTCGCTCCGCTCCCCTTGTCCCTAGCAACCATCAGTCTGCTTTTTCTCTCTATGATTTATATTTAAGTAGTATTTTTGAGAATCCTAATGGGTTCATTTCCTGCACTAAAAATAAAATCATGAAATATTAGCATGTTGAGAAATAAACTAATAGCTATTAGTTTATTATGCATAAATATGGTGCCCTCCTTATTTTAGCTTCATACCTTTTCATGTGCTTTCACAGGCAGTATGTCAGCCCAGGAGACGGATGTTGCTGAATGTGTTGGAAAATATCAGCTCCAGGAGAAATTCCTTTGCTCTTACATAGTGGTCTGTCTGGCACGCTGGTAAACACACTCACTACCTTTGACTAGTGCATGAGATAAACATTCGTTTCTCAAATAAAGATGGAACAAGCCCCCAAAGACTCTGTTCACTGATAGCAACAGATACTTTTTCATGTAAACATAAGAGAACTGGGTTTGCCACAATCACCTTCCTACTCTGATAGATATGAGGGAGAAAATTTCTCACTCATTCAGAATTACTCCTGTATCCCCACTAAATGCCTGATGCCACAGGTGGATAAGAGTTTATTTGTACACATTTATATAAGGTGCCTTTTGTTTCATAGTTAAATTGTTTTCAGTAAAAATGGTGATTAACTGAAAACTAGAAGTTGCCCTCAAGGAAGTTACAACGGGACACTGAATATGACTTTAGGCCTGTGGTAGGTGAGGGAGGGTTCAGAGAAGAGACCGTGGAGGAAAGAGCTGGGGCAAAGGTAAATGGGCCAACCACAGGAACAGCAAGTGTGCCTTGCAGAGGGAATGGTTTGGGCAAAGACACAGAGGAAGAAGGCTGCGATGATTTTGGCAGTTTGAGGTGTGAATGTCTGAACATTTCGCTGATTTGAGGGATGATGGAAATTGAAACTGTGTCCTTGAGGACTTTGAATGCTTCTGTCAGGTAGTGAGTGTCTGTGTCACATATTGTCCCCAGCACCAGGAAGGCAAAACTGATCAGGGAGTCCTAGTGCCCCCACCCCTACCTATGCCATCCTCAGGTCTGGGGACAAGAAATGACAAGTTCACTAAGAGGCTCAGAGAAGAAGTATAAGGTACCATGGGTACAAGTGTCAATGGCACTTTCCTGAGGGTGGCTTTCCAGAACTGGTGGCATTTAAACTGAGACCCCCAAAAGTAAATAGAAATGAGATTGAATTTATAGATGTTTAGCTGCCAAGGGGGCAGCTAGCTAGAGAGTAACACAGGTGGAGTCACATTCTAGAAGACTGAGGCAGCCAGTGTGTGGGACAGGTTGGGAGGGAAGGAAGGAGATAGAGGGAGGAGGTCTGACAACAGCCAGAGAGAGTCCTAGCCATGGAGCTGGGTGGTAAAGTGTTCCTAGAGAGGCTGAATTTCCAACCCCTGGTTCTAGAAACAGAAACTGGGAGGCAAGAAAAGGAGAGAGAAGAAGGCCTAGGTGTCAAATTTGGCTGTAGGCATGTTCATCTGAAGAGCTGCAGGTGGGGGGGGGGGTAGGGTTGCAGGGCCCCTTGGACCACAGCAGCACAAATGTGGATGGGAAGCCTGGATGAAGAATCTCCTTCCAGAGAAAAGCAGGCAACCTCACAGCTTGGTGTCACCATCGCTCATTTCCAGGTGACCCTGGCCTCACCCGTGGTGCTTTCCTGGCCAGGTCTCACATTCCTCAGAAGGGCTACTTGTGCTCCTTCTCTCTTCTCAAACTGTCCCCAGCCTCCTCACTTTCTACAGATGAGGTAATTTCCCACTTCACAGAAAATGGGGGCCACCACAGGGAATCGCTTCAATTTCCCCTCACAAAGTTGACAAATCTACTGGTTTCTCTCCTTCCCAAGTCTCACACCTTTACCAGCTCTGGGTCTCCCCCACATGCTGCTGCATCTCAGGGACCCTCTTTAGTAAGTTTCCTTTCCTTGTTCTGTCACTAGTGGTGACACTACTTCTCCAAAGGTCTCTTCCTACTAGCGGTAAAGGAGATCAAGTGTCATCCATGTGCAAGATGACAAAGGTGTCCCCCCCTCCATTTCAGGTTCACCACCAAGTCTTAAGAGTTATCTTCAGCTAGGCACACCTTTAGTCCTGGCACTCAGGAGGCAGAGGCAGGTGGATCTCTATAAGATCAATGCCA